AAAAAAAAAGGATTTTCCTTGAATTTTTGGAAACCCATTTGTACATATGTTTATACAAACACACACACACATATGTATACATATACACACATTAATGTTCTTATTTATAGAGATGAAAATTCAAACTCAGCCCTTTTCAAATAAAATACAAGGAAATAAAGTTTGAAAAGTATGGCAAAAATCTTCCTTCACGTAATGCACTTCAGGACCCCTGGACAGTTACACTACTTCAGTTGCTTACCAATTCTTCGGAGGTCAGATGCATCAAGCGGTCAGCTATGGCCGCACATTGGGCTGAGTCCCTTAAAAATTCCCCTTGTTTATCTCCAACAATTAGCTCTGGCCATGTCAAGCCTTCACTCTTCTTCATCAAGGAAATATCCAAGCTAGAAATTTAAATGAAAAAAGTATCGTTATATTAAGCAACTATGCAAATTATGTAATTGGTAACACATACACACACACCTTCCATAGTGATTAATTACCTTTCTGTTAATTAGAAGATGCTTTACTAGAGATCTTATTGAACTCTGCCTATGATGGAAACCTTTAGTTTAAGGTTAAATTATTTATATTTAATAAACAAGCAGGAAAATATCACTAGAGATTCTTCAAAAAACATTAAAAATATACTTTTGGAAAAATCTTTAAATATGAATGTGAAGGATGACGGGAAGAGGATAATGACTGGCAAAAAGGGAGCGGACGCAGGAGAGTAGTGTGTGGTCCCGGTGTGTGCTGCTTTACTGAGCGTATGTACGAGGGTGAGGCAAGCAGCGCAGCTCCAGGAGACAAGTTAGGGAGTGGGTGGGAAATGGGAAAGGGGGTCATGTGAAATTAACTGCAATGGGCTTGTAGCTACAAGATATCTGTTGGTATAGGGAGCTAACAATTAACTTTGTTCTCACAACTAGTAGCATATTTACTTATTAATCTGAACACTAGGCAATTCAAAACAATACAAATATTAAGTTTTAAAATACACAACTATGGTCCCTACTAATTTGTTTAAAATCAAATGCTGTACATTTAAGCTGTCAGTCAAAAATTTCAAATGCACTAAAAAGGGCTTATCAGAGGACTGACTTCAAGAATTGATACAGGAGGAAAGGGAGAGCTGAGTCAAGGCAGACTACGGACAAAGGAGAGTAAAAAGGTTGGGCCCTGCTCTTTTAAAAGGAAGTGAAAGCAGTCAGCTGCTTCAGAAGGCGCCCTGTGTCCTACTACCAGGAAAAGTAGCTTCTCCACAGAGAGAAGCAACTCTGTGCACGTGTCATCTCTGCGACACGTGCACCGCACCAAGCCGTAACGAAAGAGAACCATAGCAGACAACTGTTAAGGATAAAGGCCACTATCATAATGATCAAATAGAACATGAAAGCTCTTCTTTTTCAAGGCTGCATTTTCACCACTCCATGAAGTATACCAGTTAACCATTTTCTAAAACTACTTAAAGATCCTACACAATGTACAATCTTGCTTATATGACATCCTATTGTTAGCACTGAAAACTGCCACAATTAATGCCCAACTTGAGTTATATTTTTCCAGAAGAAAGCTAATCTTGAAAATACTGGTGATGATAAAAACAATAATAATAATCATGACAAGAGTAGCTTCTGTTTGCTTAATACTTAAGCAATCCTAGGCACTTTATATTGTTTTAGATCGATTAATGTTCATCAGAACCAAGTAAAATTGGTATTATAATTATCTCCATGACACAGGTGAGAAGAAGAGACTGAGAGTTTCCGGAATTTGCCCAGGTCACATACTAGTAAATAAGTCTGGCTCCAAGTCTGCGTTCTTCCGGCACTAGCCAGCCTCTCCGTAAAAGTACACACAAACAGCTATTAAGGAACTTTTATCCAGTGACCAGAATGAATAGTGAATTGCTACCTAGAAAGGTTTGAAAGAATTCATGCAATTTGTTATTCTCTCCTTTTAGCATGACTGCATTTCACATTTTAAAAATTGTGTTCTACTCTCCGAGCAAAAGGAAGATACAATGCCATCTTTAA